GTGTGGGGGGGGTGGAAACAGGATTCCCAGCTAGTGACAAGTGGCCTGGATGGGGTATTGGAGTTTGGGCAGTTTTGGTGTGGGGAAGGGTGGTGCAGAAGGGTCTGGTTTGAACACTGCAGTGGGCAGAGGCCAGGCCTGTAAGCCTTTGCTCCCCTGTCTGATGTGAGTGGGCCTGGTGACCGAGGGCTGGCAGGAAGAAGGTCCAGGAGCTCAAGAACAAGATTAAGATCTCACTGGGAGGGGAAGAAAAGGAGCAGTAGAGTTAATGGGGACTTCCTCAGGCCCCTCAGAGAAAGGGACCTAAGAGCAAGGCTGTGTCTGGTCCCTTGCCTGGGGCTTCTTTCTGTGGCTGGAATTTATGCACTGGAAAAGCACCAAAGGCTGGACTGAAAGCGGCAGGACTTGGGTACCTAAACACGCTTTAAAGCACGGCCCCAGGATCCTCTCCTTTAAAGCATGTGTGTGCTGATGCCTCATGGCACAGTGGTACGTGGGAGGTAGAGCCCACCCAGCTGCAGGAGAAGAGCTGTGCTTGGCAGGGCACAACCAAAGAGGGGGCTGCAGCAGCATCCATCTGTATCCCATAGGCTGACCGGGTGGGCAGTGAATTGAAAGCCATGGTCCAGACCCCCCCAGGCTACTACCTGGTTGGAGCAGACGTGGACTCCCAGGAGCTCTGGATTGCTGCTGTCCTTGGAGAGGCTCAGTTTGCTGGCATGCATGGTGAGGGTGTAATTGGGCATGGGCTGCATGGAGGGTGCTGGGCCGGGACCTTGCAGTAGTGCAGTGACCTATCTGGCCATGCTCTGGGGTCTGGCTTTCAGACTCTTTATAGTTTGTATTAATCCTTCCCCTCCTGCACCACAGGCTGCACTGCCTTTGGCTGGATGACTCTGCAAGGGAAGAAGAGCAGTGGCACCGACTTGCACAGCAAGACTGCCTCAACGGTGGGGATCAGCCGGGAGCATGCCAAGATCTTCAACTACGGGCGCATCTACGGGGCTGGCCAGCCCTTTGCTGAGCGCCTGCTGATGCAGTTCAATCACCGCCTGACACAGAAGCAGGCAAATGAAAAGGCGCAGCACATGTATGCAGTCACAAAGGGGGTCCGACGGTAAGTGCTGCTTGGGAGGTGGAGGGCTCTGCCTTGGAATTTGTGACAGCAAGTAGTGTGGTACACAAGTAGCTGGCCTGAAACTTGCCATGCTCTTAGCTCGATTTTTGTCTCGCCGAGTTGATCGTCCTGGGTTTGGATAAGAAGGGTCCCCTGGCAGGTTAGCTGCACTGGGGGGTAGTGGGTGTCTCTAGAAGATGGATCCCATGTAACCAGGTGAGATCACAGCATGTTGCAGGTTGATGGTGTCTCTCACATAGCCTTGGCCTTGGTGTCTGGGGGCTGGAGCTTGTTTACTGCCAGCCAAGTGTTATTTATTCAACGTCTCCACACTTGCTTGGTTTTGCCACAGTGGATTTTGTGCAGGAGACCCCAGGATTCAATGCTGGCTTTACCTACTGGTTCCTCTGTCCTAGGTTTCACTTGTCTGAGGAAGGAGAGTGGCTGGTAAAGGCACTGGACCTGCAGGTGGAGAGAGATGAGGATGGTTCTGTGTCTGCAAAGGATGTGGGGAGGATCCAGAGAGAAGCTGTAAAGAGGTGAGAGCAAAGCTTGGGTCACAGGGAAGAGAAAAAGGACTGGGGAGCCACCTGCTGGTCCTGTGCCAGCCCCATGCTCCTGAGAGCTGGTGATTTGCTGCCCTCTGTACAGGGCTGCAGGGGAAAGAGGCAGCAGGACAGCAGAGGCAGTAAAACATTTTCATTGCCAACTGGTAGAGGCAGGCAAGTCCAGGGGACCTCTGCATGAACTGGAGTGAGGGGCAGAGGGGCCTCATCCCTTTGTGCAAGGAAAGGGCAGAGGCCTGCAGGCGTTGCTCAGATGGTCCCACGAGCCTTGGCAAACACCTTGGCCCTGACCTGCAGCCCGGTCACTTGTCCAGAGCGTGCAGGTTACAGTCCTACCCTGGGCTGTGGTATCCCCTGGGAGTTCAGCTGGGAGCTCCTGTCTTGTCACCCTGCTTGCATCGCACGCTGAGGGCTGCAAAACAAGGAGACTGGTGTAGCTTTTCCCACTTCCTCCCACCTCCAATTGCACCCATGTTCTGACCAGGGAGGAGAGACTTCCCAGAGCCTCACCCCCTCTGACCCCAGCAGCTCTGTGGGGGCTGTGGAAGGTGGCAGATTCTGGGGGAGGGCATGGTGACTCCTGTTCCTCTTTCCCCCCCAGGTCGCAAAGGGGGAAGTGGAATGTGGTGAGGCAGCGTATATGGGCGAAAGGGACCGAGTCCGAAATGTTCAACAAGCTGGAAAGCATCGCCATGTCCCCAGAGCCACGGACCCCTGTGCTGGGTTGTCGCATCAGCAGAGCCCTGGAGCCAGCAGCTGTCAAGGACGAGGTGAGAGCAGGCATTAGTGGGATGTGCGTCTGGCTCGGCTTGGCAGAGCTTGCCTTTCGCGTTACTCATTTTGAACTGTAAGTTGCCCACTGCCCAGCCTGCAGTGTTCTCCAGAACAGCGCTGCAGCTCCCAGCAGACCCTGCTGCCCCTCGCATGCTGGGATTGGGGTCCACCCATGCAGCTAAAGGTCTG